CGGGCAGGGGCCTGGGCTTGTTAAAGACACTCACGCTAGCGCCACGGACCCGGGGGAAGGGTACACGTGGAGTTCACGGGCGGCTGGACACGGAGGGCCCTGCCTGCCGATTCCCACGCAGGGCCTCTGGCGGTCCGTGTCCGCACAGGCCAGCACCTCTCGGGCAGGCGGACGGCGGGGGGAGAGAGCAGCGTACGTACCAGGTCCGGCCTCACGCGGTAGGTGAGGGGCAAGGAGAGGCAGGCGGAGTGCAGGGTGGTGGCCACGGTGGACAGCCAGGACTGCCGGACCTCGCGGCTCCGCGGGATGCGGTGGAGGAAGTACCGCGGCACCTGAGGAGGAGCACAGACCACGTCCGCTCAGTGACTCTCTCTCCAGCCAGACGACGCTCTGCGCAGGGAAGGTCGCCCTCAGGGCTGCAGGAGCTGCAGACGCAGCGGAAGTGCACACCCGCCTCCCCCACCAAAGTGTGTGAGCGATTCCTGGGGGGACACCCTCTATATTGACGTTTGAGATTTGCAGCAAACATGAATTATGACGCCCGTAACCAGGGAAACCAACGCCCCTTCCCGCGTCAGAGTTCCGGGTGCTTGATACCTTCTGCTGAGCGACAGCTCCCGACACGGCCCTCGGTCCTGGGGCGCGGACAGGAGGCCCACGGGCGCTCTGGGTGGGCCTCCTGGAGGGACCGGAGGGCCGTGCGCGGGTTGGCAGGAGGCCTCCCTCTGCCCTGGGCCCTCGCACAGGCGACCGAGTGTTCTCGTCACACAGCAGCTCGCCGCCGCCGCGGGGAGCAGGTGACCCGAGAGGGCCGCAGCGCCCTCAAGGTCACCCCCATTTCCACAAGGTCCTACTGTTCACAGCCAGCCTGTCCTGAGGGGAAGGGCCCAGGCAGAGGGCGGGCCTGAGGGCAGGAGAAGCCTGGCCTCGCGGGCGCCGGCTCCCACACAGGCGGGTCTGGGGGTGAGGGGTGACGTGTTGAATGCCTCCCTCAGCCTCGGGCAGTCTGCTCCTGGGGAGGGATGGTGAGGGCACACGCGGCCTGAGTGTTGGCGTTTGGAAGCGGCGGGGGCTGCGCGGCAGGAGGGCGAGTGTCACTCCCCACCCCTCCCTCCACGCCAGGCCTTCCCCCAGGCTCCCCCACAGCCAGGGACAGAGAGGAGGGGCAGGGGGTGCACGAGAGATTCCTGCTCTTCCCACACAGTCCGTGAAGCACCCGTTCTATCTATCTATCTATCTATCTATCCATCCATCCATCTATGAAGCACTCTATCTATCTATTTACCTATATCAGTGAAGCACCCCATCTATCTATCTATCCATCATCTATCTATCTATCTATCTATCTATCTATCTATCTATGAAACACACTATCTATGAAGCACTCTGTCTATCTATCATCTATCCATCTATATCAGTGAAGCACCCCATCTATCTATCCATCCATCCATCATCTAGTCTAGCATCTGTCTGTCCAACATCCACCGTCCTGATGAGAAGGGCAGGACGGGGCATTCACGGCCATTAGGTTCCATCCACTCGGATTCGGATCAGGGGAAGCCTCACCCCCTGCCCCCCTGGAGGGAGAGGGGGCGCTCAGATGGGGGCGTGAGGACACTGGACGGCGGGAGGCACTGCTCCCCTGAAAGGCCCCCAGGATCTCACTGCCGGGCGCAAAGCTCTGACTCAGATGTTCACGCAGGAGAATGAGCTTCCGAGTCAGAGGTGGGCTGGTGGTTCGGTTGTGTTGCTGTTGCTTTACCTGGACCTAAAGCTGAATATGCTGCGCTCCATCATCAAGAGGGCAAGTGCGACACGGGTCAGTCCCCTCTCACCATGCGCTTCTGTCAGACCTTGGGGCACCCCGCAGGACTCCTCCCCGCACAGGAGGCCTGGGGGAGGGGTGCCTGGGGTAAGGGGTCCCTGGGGGAGGGGGTGCCTGGGTGGGGAGGTGCCTGGGGAAGGGGGTGCCTGGGGGAGAGGTGCCTGGGGGAGGAGGTGCCTGCGCTTGGGTCCGATGTGCGGGGTCCGCGCGCCCCCCGGTGGCGACAGCGGGTGCTGCCGGTGGAGGCGGGTCCTGTCCCTTCCTGAGCCCCCGGCTGAGGGCCCCGCCTCTCCCAGCTGACCCGCCGCAGGGGGAGCCTTTCCGGCCCGGAGAGGAAGGCCCGCAGGGACCAGGCTGCTTCCGAAAGGAAAGGCGTGGAGACGGCCCCACACCTCCCCGCCCCGGCCGCCTGCAAGCGCACGTGGCCAAAGCTCGTCTCAGCGGTGAGCACACGGAACAGAGCGTGTCCTTCATGTTTGTTAATGTCCGTGTCATTCTCCATCGGAACCTGTAAACCTACTGTGTGCAGAGGTCTCCACGCCGCCCGCGTCCAGGGCTGCCCCCGGCCTCCCGCTTGCTGCGCGCGCCCCCTGGTGGCGGCCGGCGGGGATGCCGGGAGCAGAGCCGTGGGAGGTCCTCACCTGCGGGCCTGGGGGCTGGGATGGGGGGAAGGGGGGGAGGCATCTCCGGAGCTGAGGGCCTTTCCGGTGGGAGAGGGGCGCGGGAACATGGGGAGAGCGTGCAGGAGCGCCCCGTCGGGGAGGGCACCCCGTCCTCACGGCCGCTCCGACCACAGGCCCGGGAGCTCTGCTCGTCTCTCCCCTTCCCATCCCACACCCGGTCTGTCTGTAGGAAATTCTATTTCCTCTCCTTTCAAACCCGCCTACTGCCCCGTGCCGACCCCACGGGGCCGCGCTAGCTCTGCCGGGAAGGCTCCCACGGCCCCCACCGGACTCCCCCTTGTCCCCCAGCCTCCTTGCAACACAGCAACCCAGGGTCTGGTTAAAAGGGCAGGTGGCCCAGGCCGCCCCCTGGAGCCAGCCCCCCAAACCCCTGATCTGGACACTGGCCACCTGCCCTCCCCGTCCATGCGGTGATGCGCGCGCACAGAATCCCCAACGCTGAGTTCTAAGGCCGCGTGTGTCAGGGAGCGGGGCTGGGGGTGACAGGGGAGCCCACCTTTCCACTTTGGTCTTGGTTGGTGACATAGACAAACCTGAACACCCTCCTGCCACAGACAGACTAACTGCTGTCAGAAACACACGTGTGTGTGTGTGTGTGTGTGTGTGTGTGTGTGTGTCTGAACTAGGAAGGAGGGAGCCCTCCTGGCCAGGACAGGAGGAACGTGAGGAGGGAGCGGCCAGCCTCTGCCCGGAGGGAGGGGAGAAGAGGTGCCGGACGGGTGGGCCTCTGCCCTGCAGGCTCGGAGGTGACGCTGACCGTCGGTGACACCGCCCGCTCGGGAGAGGCAGTGCCGGGCTCCGGCTGCCTGCTCTTCTGCTTTCACACTCGGGCCCCTGGCTGAGCTCACCGCCTCCTCATTTTAAGGACCAACATTCACATCCCAGACCGGGCTCCCCGCCCGAACGTCAGGCCCGGATCCCCGTCCTGCAGGGGTGGTCGCTGCCGTCCTGCCCCCCTGCCCCTCCGCACGGACACGGAGGGCAACTCCATTATTCTGGCAGCTCAGGCGAAGTCTGCATGTCACCCTTGGCCCCTCCTCCTCCTCCCCGACCTGCACTGTAACAGGCGTGCCCTGATTGTTAAAGAACTAAACTCCACGTGCAATTTGAAACGTTCTTAGAAAGAGACTTGCCCACTTACCATGCCACTGGGGTCCCTATCGGCGCGCCCGAGCTCAAAAGCCTCTATCTTCCGGGCGCTGATCTCGTCCGTGTCGGCGATGACGTAGTGTCTGGGAGAGTACGCGGCGGACAGGTGCCCCAGCAGCCTCAGCAGCTCGGTGGTGTGCCCGCCTGGAAAGGGGGGGAGGCCTTGGGGTGAGAGACCGCGAGGGACGCGCCTGTTGGACAGTGTGACACTAAGTGACAGCCAAGGCTCGTCTCAACAGCAGGAGGAACCACTGGAAACAGCCTCTGTGGTGTGAATACGACTGTCATGGGGCGGAGGAGAACAAATGTGTGAAAATAAAATCAGCTCTCGCAGATTCTACTCCTAAATGTACAGTGTGGGAGGTGCCTCTCTGCGGGGCTGTCACTCAGAATCGTCAGCGCCTGGCGGGGCCGGGGCTCATTTACATGTGTCCCGGGCAGGACGGCCGGTGGCTGTGACGGCTGCCCCACGGGTGCCACGCAACTGTTCCCTCCTCGTGGGCTTGGTATGTTTATAAAAATGACAATTCGCCACGTCTCCTCTATCATGATTCCTAATGGAAACACCAAATGCCTAGATTAATCACGCAAACCAGCAGTTTATTCCTCAGGGAAATTGCAGGTCAGCATCACAAGGCTTTGGCGTCCTCTCTGTTCACTAATTATTTATTAGAAGGCTACACGCTGCGGAGAGGCTTAATTACTGACCGGTGCGAGGTACTCATTTGTCATTAAAGTCGCAGCGCGGAAGCGTCAGCCCAGCTGCTTAGTGCCTGGCTGGGGCTGGTTCCGGTGACGCAAAGGAACTACAACTCCCAGTATGCAGTGCGCACAAAGCGCGAAGGAGACCCAAGGACGGCGTCGCAGTGCACTCTGGGTTTTGTGGTCCGCCCCGTACTTACCGGACCCGGCCACCGCCATGAGGCTGACAGATTCCCGCGGAACAACAACCCGGGAATGAAGCACGAGCCACAGCCGCAGGGCCAGGACCACTGCCGCCGCTCCTGCGGCCGCCGCGAGGATAAGGACGCACCCCATTCAACGGAACTACGCATGCGTACTGCCCTCCGGCCAGCCCAGAGGAGCGGTCAAAGTTCAGGAACTACGGGCGCTGAGGAGACTCAAACTGGCCGTGCGACGTCATGCTGAGCGGGGTTCCGGGCCGGAGGCGGAAGTCCGGCCTCTGGACTGTGGATGCGGCGTGGCCACCGGCGGAGCGGAAGCTCACATTCCGGAAGTTAAGCGCTGAAGTTGCATTTCCGCCCGTGGTGAGGTCAGGAACTCCCAGCTGTACCAGCTTAGTGAACCCACGTGAGCCCCAGTGGCACACACGCTTTTGTTGTTCTTTTTTAAATGCCAGGGGAAGTGCTTCTGCTGCACGTGCAGGCATTTCCTGGGAGTGTTCGCCAGTGAAAGGCACTTTGGTACAAAGGACTCGGGGCTCATCCTGACATCACCCCAATGCTAACAGGAGGCCCCAGCCTGGGTGCAGTAAAAAGGAGAGACGTTATGCAGGTAAACAGCTTGCAAACCGGGAAACGGCCTCCAATGGCAACCATAGTGTGCTCCCGGAGGCAAAGGGGAGGCCGCCTTTCACAGAGAAAGTGCTGCCCCGTTCCTGATTGGTCCACTTTTATGCAAATGAGGAACTCACATTTGCATAGCGTGATTGGTCAAGTTAGCACTGTCCCGATTGGTTGGGATCATGGTGGTTATGGGGCTGCTCTGTTCTGCTCAGTAAAGATGCAAATGCAGATACAGTTGTTCGGCTCTGATGGGCTGGGGCAGGTCTCAGCCCATTGGTGGAAGCACGGTTCCGGGCCCTCCTGCAGAAGGTGGGCTCAGCAGGACACAGTGTAGAGGCTGGCCGCCCAGTCCAGCTTCCCCTCCCGTGTGCATCCTGCGTGGGGGGGCCTTTGCAAACAGTGGCCGCTAGACTCTGAAGTCGAAATTTGGGCCCAAACGAACCTCAAGAGTCCTTGGCATGGCTCTATGCCTTCTCAGGGTCAGCAGTCTAAATCTCGTCTTTCTCAGCACGATTGCTTTTAACTTTCTAGGCGTTTCCACAGGTAACTAGTAACCTGTGATCTGGTAACAGGTAACGAGGTAACCTGGTAACCAGTAACATGGTAACCGTTAAACCTGGTAACTGGTAACCAGGTAACTGGTAACCAGTAACCTGCTAAACCGTTAAACCTGGTATCAAGTAACCAGTAATCTGGTAACCGGTAACGAAGTAACCTGGTAACTGGTAACCAGTAACGTGGTAAACCGGTAACCAGGTAACTGGTAACCAGTAATCTGGTAGCCGGTAACCAGTGACCCGGTAACCTGGTAACCGTTAACCTGGTAACAAACCGTGTGACCACGGTAACTGAGGGCAATCAATTCAAGTAATGCCACCATCCTGAGACGAGTGGAAGCTCAGTGGCTCCCGGTAGCCTGAAAGAGAAGGCATCGACCTACAATTAATATTCAGTTAATCTTCACACGAAGCCAGCCGGCCCCTCCCCCACTGTGCTTACCTTTATGTCTGCATAAGCCACAGGCAGCAATAGAAAAAGACTGAGATTGCCGGAGCCCCTTCACCCCACATGTCACCTGTCCTTGGTCTCCTATAAACCTGGAGGTGAGATAGGGAGTATCGTTTTCCGGTACGTCCATATTCAGTCTCCATCGTTAATCCTCACCCCTACATCCTCCCATAAGGCCATCGGGCAAACATTCCCCTCTTCACAGACAAAGAGGTGGATTCTATAACATTTCAATGGTTTTCCTAAGATGAGTTAGAGGTGGAGAACGTTTATAGTTGTGGGCTTTCAAGCTGGTGCCTCTTAGGTTTTGATGCAATCAGAATCCCCTGGGCCAGTGGTTGGCAAACTGCGGCTCGCGAGCCACATGAGGCTCTTTGGCCCCTTGAGTGTGGCCACGAAGTTTCAATCGCACTGTACGTGTGCGCCCGCACGTGGCATTTTGTGGAAGAGCCACACTCAAGGGGCCGCAGTTTGCCGACCGCTGCCCTGGGCTTACACACACGGTTGGAAGCGCAGAGGTAGGGCCCCTGGCACAGTACGAAAACCAACGTAACAGTATATTACATGGGATGTAGTTTTCTTCCGCCTGCCCACCCAGCAATGGCTCCAGCTGAAGCCCTCTCCCCTCTTCCTTCAAGGAAGATTTAGCGGCCTCAGAAACTACGTCCAGGCAAGGCCGTCTCCAGAGCCAAAAGGAGGTTGTCTTGTCACTGGTTCTCTTCTGAAGGGCGAGGAGGCCTTTCCCAGAAGCCCACAGCAGCCTTTCTTTCTGTCCTTCGGGCGTTATTGATATCCACTCGTCAAGGGCTGTGGCCTGGAGCTGACTGGGGTAGGGCGGAGGATGACAGACAACTCACCTGTCGTACCCGGTCCCGTGCTGGAGGGAGGGCGCTGAACAGAAGGGGCCTCCTCTTGGAGAGGAGGAAGGTGGAGGAGGGTGGGAGGCAGGTGATTGGGTAGGCAGGTGAGAGTGTGGATTGCTGTGGAGGGCATGTGTGCGAGGTGGCTCAGTAAACCAACCCAGGCAGTACCCATGCCAGGCATATTACAAATCACTAGGCTCTAGGCCTTGCGTTCCCCATTGCCCGGTCCCCTTGCCACCGCCATTCCTAAAGGGAGTCACCGTAACCAGACGGCTTGCAGCTGGATGACGGGGGTGACCAGGCATTTAGGAGGTGCCAGTAAATGCAGAGAATCAACAGGGTGGCGCAGCAGGCCTGTGAGCAGTCCTGGGTTGTGTGGATTAAGGCTGGAGCAGAATGTTCAGTGTTCCTGACAAGAAAGTTGAGGCCTGCAGGGAGGAGCGAGGTGAACGGAGGTCCCGGGTAGGGAGGTCCCGAGGGTGCCGTGAGAGGGTTTGAAGAGTGGTGAGGGCTGGGCGTGGGTCAGATGGGGGCGGGTTACAAGGACCTACAGAGCTAAGGACCAGGAGGATAATGGCGACCTGGAGGTCTGTGGGGACTGAAGTGATAGGGACGATCCGTTTCCGCCCAGTCCCACCGGCACCCCGGGCGCACACTGGGCCAGCCCTAGGTGCAGGGTGAGGCAGCCACAGCGACCACCCAGCAGTGACTTAACAATGAGCCTGCCTGTGGGAGCCGCACGCTCCTGCAGGGCCCCTGGAGGAAGCACCCACCCGCCTGCATGGGCTGCCCGGGAGGCTGGGCCGCTGGGGACCCTGGCCGCTGGCCCCTTCCCGCCGGAGCCCGGCCGCCTTCCATCTTCACGAGGGCAGCCAGGGGCGGATGAAGACGGCCCAGGCTCTTCTCTGAGCGCCTGGGAGGCCTCCGTGATCGGCGCTGAGCTGGCCCAGGACACGGTAGGGGCGAGCTGGGAGGGAGGTCGCGGTCTGGGCCCGCTGGTTGCCTGGGGGTCTGCAGGGCCGGGTAGGCGGGGACAGACGGTCACCCTAGTGGCTGCCAAGACTTCTCTCCCGGTCAGATGTGCTAGTAGGTGTTTACGTCGCGGCCTTTCCCCGGGCGAGCCCCTTCCCGGGCTCTGGGACGCTACCCCGAAGGCCAGGCGGTTGTTCGATGCTGCGTCGGCGTTTACTGGGAGCTCGCTCTAGGCAGGCCCTCAGGACAGCAGTGCGTGACCCAGTTCTGACGGCAGCCGAGGGGCGGCCTCGTAGTGACCACATCTTGTGAACGAGGACATGGGGGGTCGGGGAGGGCGTGCCATTGGCTCGGGGTCACAGGCAGGAACGGGAGGCAGTTCCCGGCCAGGTTCCTGTCCCTCTGCCTGGCCATCGGAGGTGTCCGAAGGCGTTTACGCGGCGGCCAGGCCGCACGTGCACAGGGAGCAAGACGGGGGTGAGCGGTGTGCTGACCTCTTACTTATGAAGCTGAAGCCAAGCGGGAGGAAAGCGTTTTGGAAAAGTGGCTTTTCCACACGCCGGTCAAGAAAGCTTTTCTGTTTTCTGGCTTTTTCTCGAAGTGCGTTCGACAAGGGCACCAGATTAGTTGTACAGGCAGACATGTGTCTGTGTGTCTGTGTTCATGTATGCTGCTCTTTTTCTATTCTCACCTGAGGACATGTTGCACTGACTCTAGAGAGAGGGAAAGAGAGAGAGACACACACACACATCATCGGTCGGTTGCCTCCTGTACACAGGGATCGAGCCCGCAACCTAGGTATGTGCCCCGACCGGGACTCGAACCCGCAGCCTTCTGGTGCATGGGACGATGCTCCAACCAACCGAGCCGCCCGGCCAGGGCTCGGCTGCTCTTGACTGAAGCCTTGCTCATGATAAAGGACAGGGACATGGCCAGGCACGAATTCCCTCACTGTGTCCATGGTCTCAGACCCACCTTTCCAGACGTGTTCACGAAGCCCTTGCTCAGGCCTGTGAGCCACACCTGCCTTATCAGCTTCAAATTCGACAAGACGGTAAAGTCTCATCTTAAAACACGTTCCCAGTTGATCGTGGCACATGCGTCACCCCGGTTCCTAACGCCAGCCCCGCCGCAGCCGCCCCTGTGACGGCGGTGGCTGCATTTCCCTTCAGACCTAGAACGAATCAGGAACAGTCCCACGTCTGCCCAGCACGGCTCGGCTCGGGAAGCTGTGGGCTTGACTTCTGCTCCCCCAGCCCGCCCTGCCCCCAGCCCCGCCCGGCAGCACCGTCCAGCCCGCGTTTCTTCCTCATGGCACCTCTGCCCCTTTTCATTCTGGTTCTCAAATCCTCTGCTGCCGCCACAGAGCTTTCTGTCCTCCACAGAATCACACAGATCGTGGCCTGGCTGGTGGCTCAGTGGTTGGGCATTGACTTAAGAGCCAGGAGGTCAATAAAAGTGTGATTAAAAAAAGAGAAAGAAGCGCACGCATTGTGTTCTCACTCTCCTCTGCCCAAACATCCCCCTTGGCTTCGTGTGACGCAAACCCCCGGCAAACCCGTGGCAAACCCGTGGCTTGCACGTGCGTGGCAGCCCCCGCCTCTCGGAGGCATCGGTGCCCTTTCTCAGCAACCTCTCCTTGCCCCCCCGCAGGTGAGGAGGCCCGGGCTCTGCCGCGCTGACCCCGCCCCGCGGGCGCTGTGACCAGACTCCCCGTGGACGCTGCGGCCCTCGCGTGGCTTCGAGGACCCGGGGATGCTACTCAGGGAAGAAGGTACCTCGGGCGGAAAGCACAGCGAGGACGAGGGGTGAGGCCGATGGAGCGCGCAGATGTGCCCCTGCCAGGTCAGTGTCGACGCCTCGGGGAGTCGTGTGTAAGGGCAGGTGGGTGCCCTGACGGCAGCGGACCGTCCTCTCAGCGTCTCCGTAACATCCGGCTCCTCTTTCGCCAACATGGGTGCCCTCTGTCCGTCGGTGGTTCTCCTCAGTTGGTTTGTTTCTATTTTTAAATATATTTTTATTGATTTCAGAGAGGATGGGAGAGGGAGGGGGATAGAAACATCAGTGATGAGAGAGAGTCATGGACCGGCTGCCTCCTGCAGGCCCCACACTGGGGATGGAGCCGCAACCCGGGCCTGTGCCCTGACGGGGAATCGAACCCTGACCTCCTGGTTCCTAGGTCGACCCTCAGCCACTGAGCCCCGCCAGCCGGGGGTCCTTCCTCCATTTGTTAATTTCCCAACAGACGTTCTGCCAGAAGTCTCAGGCGACTCGGCCGCCCTTAGCAGTCCCGTCTCCGCCTCAGACCCCGTGGGCCCGGTGCTGACCCTGACCGTGTGGGAGAGAGCTAAAGGCCGACCTGGGAGAGGCACCTCTTTGAAACGCTCGGTTCACATTTTCCCAGGGACCGGGCGTATGGGCGTCCGCCTCAGACGTGTGGGAGGATCACAGCGTCCCTGCCTGAAAAGGTGCTGGGAACCCACACGACCTTCTGTGGTCAGCTCCCTCCTCCAGTTTGGCCTCTCTTTCCTGAGGCGTTAGCCGCTAACTCTCCTTGTGTCTTCATCCCGAGCCCATAAAGCTCCAGGCTCCCCATTAAAGTAAGAGGAGATCAATGAAACCTCCCCCGCCCGCCCGCTGGCTCAGCACAGCCCTGGCCGCTCCCTCCTCCCTGGCCAGGGTGTTTTTCCACGCCCGGCCGCTCCTATGCCAGCGGCTGCTTCGTGGGACCGAAGGCTTCTGAGGGCACAGAGCAAAGCTCCGTCTCAGATGCTGACGGCTGGTCCCCGACCCTGCGGCCGGGCACAGGGGGACCCTCAGTGCGGGAGGAGGCGTGGCCCAGCCCTGCAGGGCCAGGGGCTGAGGGACACAGGCCGTGCGTAGGATGACATGGGTGCCCTACTCTATGCCGCCCAAGGGTGCCTGGGTGTCTGAGCGGCCGAGTTCCTGCCGCCTGGCTTGTTCCTACCAATGCAAGCAGACCCTTCCCTGACAGCTTGCGGCTCCAGGGGCTGGGAACTCCCCCCTACCCCCGTAGGCAGCCTTCCCGGCAGCCACCACCGCCTGGCTCTCCAGAACCATCTGCAAGGGCCCGAGAAGCCAACCAGAGGGCCCTCAGGCTCAGGCCTCGTAGGAGACCCTCCCCTGGGCCCGATGCCCCTTGCCCCATCCTCCTCCCTCCCTTCTCTCCTTCCCTCCCTCCCTCCCTCCCTGCCCTCCTGCCCTCCTGCCTCTCCGGGGTGGCCTCGCTCCTCCCTGCAGAAGGACTCAGCCGCCTCTCGCCCAGGAATTGCCACCTTGGGCCTCCCCGCCTGTGGTCTGTAGGGCAGTGCCTCCGCCCCACCTGAATGGGGAGCCTTCATTCTTAGGGGCGGACTCCAGAGGGTAAGGGCTCAGCATCTCAGGGGTCAGGGCCCCTCGGGTTCGGCCGCCTGCCCGGGAGGCCCAGGAGCCTGGCAGGAGGACCGGGTGGGCCTGGACGGAACCGTGCGCAGAGGCAGACGGTACCGGGTATGAGGCGGCATGACGCCGAGCTCTGAGGTCAGACTTCCCTCCCTGGTCCCAGCCCGCCCTTCGCTGTTCCCTCCGAGTCACTCGACCTCTTTAGGTCTCAATCCCATCAGCTGTGGGGGGGCGGTCAGTAAGGAGGGGCCATCTTGCCTGACCTCACTGCAGGCGGAGGGAGACTCGGTGAGGAGGTCCCAGGCCTGGCACCGGGAGCCTGGAGCACACCCACTGCGGGCAGGACGGCCAGCAGGGCGGGCGAGGAGAGCCACCCAAGGCCACGGGCACCGAGTGCGAGTCGGGCAGGGAGCGAAGGACGGGAGCCAGGGCGGAGGGAACGCGCAGGAATCGCGCAGGAGCAGGTCTGGGCATCGTGCGTTTCCTGCATCTTCTCTGCAGCAGCAAAGTGCGAAACGCTGTGCGAGCGACTTCCTTAGAGGCTTTTATTGATTTCCGAGAGGAAGGGAGAGGGAGAAAGAGAAACACCAATGGATCGGCCGCCTCCTGCACGCCCCACCCTGGGGATGGAGCCCGCAACCCGGGCCTGTGCCCTGACCGGGAATCGAACCCTGACCTCCTGGTTCATAGGTCGACGCTCAGCCACCGAGCCACGCGGGCCCATGCGAACGCCTGGGAGGAAGAGAGACCAGGAGCTTAAAGGAGTGAAGTGATGCTGGGAACTGAGCGAGGAGCCAGACACGCTGGCGAGGAGGCTGCGGGCGCAGCCTGTGCTCTCGCTGAGAGAGCTTCACTTCGTCCCCCGGGCAGTGGGAAGCCGCTCCAGCGTTCAGACAGGGGAGAGGCGTTCAGACAGAGGCTGTCGCGTGGACAGCAGGCGGCCAGCGCTGCGTTTGTACCTGAAGTTTTCCTGGGACCCAGCCAGGCCCCTCCACTGGCCGACGGTCTGCAGCGGCCGCCTGCCCCAGGGCGGAGGCGCTCCCGGGGGCCTGCGGGGAGAGGTGGGCGCCGAGCCGGTGCGTGGCCTCGGGCGAGGTGAGCCGAGTTGGGAGCTGGTGCCACGTCGAAGGCCAGGAGCCGGAGCACCGTGACGCAGGTGTGGGTGGGATCATGCCCTTTGTGTTTAACCAGAGGAGACTGTTTCTCAAGCCCCGTTACACAACCGCAGCCACGGCCGCCTCCTCAGGGTCCCGCCGGCGTCGCAGCCAGAGCTGGGCATTCCTGGGGCGCTGCGCGGTGGGCTCGGGTTCTGGCTGCGTCCTCGTTCTGGGGGTGCTGTCTCCACTCTGCTGCCTGACCCCCCCCACTTCCGGTTGATCTTCCCGACTCCAGATCCCTG